CATAACATAATAAAATTTTTTAAAAAAGAAAGTGAAAAGACAAACCACAGAACGTGAAAGAATATTTACAAGTCATATATCTAGTAATAGACTTTTATCTAGAATATACAAAGATCATACACAACTCAATAATAAAAATACATATAATCCAATTTAAAAATAGGCAAAAAATCTAAATAGGCATTTCTCCAATAAAGGTATACAAATGACCAATAAGCCCATGAAAAGATGCTCAACACCATTAGTCTTTGAAGAAACACAAATCAAAACCTCAATTAGATAGCACTTAACACCTACTAAGATGACGAGAATAAAAAGGTCAGATTCTTCTCAAGCGCATGTGAGACAGTTTCTGGGATACAGACCATATGTTAGGCCACAAGTTAGTTCCAATATATTTAAAAATATAGATATCATTCAAAGTACATACTCCAACCACAATGGGATGAAGTTAGAAATAGAACAGAAGGAAAACTGGAAACTTGACAAATTTGTGAAAATTAAATAACACCTCTTAACCAATGTATGCAAGAAGAAATCACAAAGAAAATTAGAAAATACTTAGAGATAAATGAAAATGAAAATGCAAAGTACCAAAACTTATGAGACACAATGAATGCAATGCTCAGCAGGGAATTTACAGTTATAAGTACTTACATTAGTAAACAAAAAAGATCTCAAGACAGTAACATAAATTTATAATTTAAGGAATAAGAAAAGAAAAAAACTAACCCCAAAGCTAGCAGAAGGAAGGAAACAATAAAGAATAGGCAGAGATAAACAAAATAAAGACTAGAAAGACAACAGGGAAAATCAATGAACCAAAAATTGGTTTTTTGAAAAGATCGATGAACTTGAGAAACCTTTAGCTAGATGAACTAAGGAAAAGAGAAAGAAGGCTCAAATTATTAAAAATAAAAAGGAAAAATAAAATAAGATGAAAATAGGGAGGCAAACCATAAGTGACACTGAACTCTAGGAAATAAACTGAGGGATGCTGGAGGGGAGGTAGGTGGGGGGATGGGGTAACTGGGTGATGGGCATTAAGGAGGGCACTTGATGGAATGAGCACCGGGTATTATTTGCAACTGACGAATCACTAAATTCTACCTCTGAAACTAATACAGTATGTTAACTACATTGAATTTAAATAAAGAATTAAAAAAATTAAAGTGGTGGTATTACCAATGATTCTACATAAATAAGAATTATAAGAGTACTATGAACAATTGAACATGAACAAACTGGATAACCTAGATGAAATGGATAAATTACCAGAAACACAAAACCTACCGAGACTAAATCATAAGGAAATAGAAAAGTCTGAATACACCTATATCCAGTAAAGAGATTGAAGCAACAATCAAAAATCTCCCAAAAAAGAAAAGCCGTAGACCTGATGGCTTCACTGGTAGATTCTACCAAACATTTAGAGAAGAACTAATACAAACTGTTCTTAAACTTTTCAAAAAGGCACACCTGCGTGGCTTAGTTGGTTAAGCATCTATCTGCCTTCCGCTCAGGTCATGATCTCAGGGTCCTGGGATCAAGCCCCGTGGTTGGGCTCCCTGCTCAGTGGGGAGTCCGCTTCTCCTTCTCCCTATGCCCCTCTCCCTGCTGTGCTCTCTCTCTCTCAAATAAATAAAATCTTAAAAAAAAAAAACTTTTCAAAAAAAAAATGAAGGGGAGGAGACACTTCATAACTCATTCTCTGAGGCCAATATTACCCTGATACTAAGCCAGAAAAGACACTATAAGAAAATAACACACCAATATCCCTTATGAACACTGATACAAAAAAAACCTGAAAAAAATATTAGCAAATTGAATTCAGCAGCATATTAAAAGGATTCTATACCATGACCATGTGATATTTGTTCCTGGAAAGCAAGGATGTTTCAACATATGAAAATCAGTCAGTACAATGCCACATTAACAGAATGAAGGAAAAAAACACATTATCATCTCAAATGATGTAGAAAAAGCATTTGACAGAATTCAACACCCTTTCATGATAAAAAAAAAAAAAAAAAACCATGCTCAACAAAATAGGAACAGAAGGAAATTGCCTCCACATAATAAAAGCCATATATGAAAAACCCACAGGGAACTTAATACTCAATGGTGAAAGACTGAAAGCTTTCCTCTAAGGTCAGGTAGAAGGCAAGGATGCCTGCTTTGGCCACTCTATTCAACACAGTACTGGAAGTTCTAGCTAGAACAATCAGGCAATAAAAAGAAATAAAAGGCATTCAAATTGCAAAAGATGAAGTAAAATAATCTCTACTGGCAGATTATATGATCTAATATGCAGACACCTTGAAGATTGCATTAAAAATCGTTAAAATTCATAAATGAATTCAGCAGAGTACCAGGATACAAAACGAACTTGCAAAAATCAGTTCCATTTCTATATGCTAACAATGAACAATGAAAAATTCTGGAAACTATGAAAACAATTCCATTTACAATAGCATTGAAAAGAATAAAATCCTTAGGAGTTAACAAGTATGTGAAAGACTTGTGCAATAAAAATTACAAAACACTGGTAAAAGAAATTAAGGAAGATATAAATAAAGGAAAACACATCCTATGTTGATATTGTTAAGATGTCAATACTACCAAAAGTGATGTACAGATTCAATACAATCTCTATCAAAACCCCAATGAGCGGGGCGCCTGGGTGGCTCAGTTAAGTGTCTGCCTTCGGCTCAGGTCATGATCCCAGGGTCCTGGGATCCAGCCCCGCATTGGGCTCCCTGCTTAGTGGGAAGCCTGCTTCTCCCTCTCCTGCTCCCCCTGCTTGTGTTCTCTCTCTCTCTCTCTGTCAAATAAATAAATAAAATCTTTTAAAAAAATAATAAAAATAAAAATAAACAATGATACTCTTTTTTGCATTAATAGAAAAACCGGGGGCCCCACATCAGGCTCCGTGCTGGGCATGGAGCCTGCTTACAATTCCCTCTCTCCCTCTCCCTCTACACCCAACTGCTGTTCGCTCTCTCTTAAAAAAAAAAAAAGTTTAATAGAAAAATCCATACCTAAAATTTATATGGAATCTCCAGGGATGCCCAAACAGACAAAAAAAAATCTTGGAAAGGACAAAAAAAGCTAAAGGTCTCACACTTCCTGATTTCAAAACTTAATAAAAACTAACAGTAATCAAAATAGTTTGGTACCGGCATAAAGACAGGCATATAGACCAACGGAATAGAATAGAGAGCCCATAAATAAACCTTCATATATATGGTGAAATGATTGTTAACAATGATAGCAAGATCATTCAACAGAAAAACAATACTCTTTTCTTTTTTTTTTTTTAAAGATTTATTTATTTATTTTGAGAGAGTGAGAATGAGAGAGAGAGAGAGCACATGAGAGGGGGGAGGGCCAGAGGGAGAAGCAGGTTCCTCGCTGAGCAGGGAGCCTGATGCGGGACTCAATCCTGGGACTCCAGGATCATGACCTGAGCCGAAGGCAGTCGCTCAACCAGCTGAGCCACCCAGGCGCCCATAAAAACAATACTCTTTTCAACCTATGTTGCTAGAAAAACTGGATTATGCATGTGCAAATGAATGAAGTTAAAACCTTACATAACAGCACATGCAAAAATTAACACAAAACGGATCAAAGACCTAAAATTAGGACCTAAAATTATAAAACTCTTAGAAGAAAACATAGAGGAAAAGTCACTGAATTTGGCAATAATTTCTTGGATATGACACCTAATGTATAGGCAACAAAAGAAAGAAGTGGACACAGAGTACTTCATGAAAAATTTTAAAATTTATCCATCAATAGCTTCAACAGAGTAAAAAGGCAACCCACAAATGGGAAAATTTTTGCCAATCCTATCTGATAAAGAATTAATATCCAGAATATACAGAGAACTCTAAAATTCAACGACAAAAAGCAACCCGACTTTGCAATGTGCAAAAAAGAATGTAAACAGACATTCTCCAAAGAAGATATCCAAATGGTCAATAAGCACATGTTCAATACCATTAATCACTTGGGAAGTGCAAATCCAAACTACCCTGAGATGCCACCTCACACCGATTAGGAATGCTACTATCACAAAACAGAAAGCAACAAGGGTTGATGAGGATGTGGAGAAACTGGAAAGGTTATGCACCGTTGCTGGGCATGTAAACTGGTGTAGCTGCTGTGGAAAGCAGTGGGGCTGCTCCTCAAACAATTAAAAATAGAATTCCCATATGACTCAGCAATTCCACCTCTGGTCATATGCCCCAAAGAAGTAAAACCAGGGTCTCAAAAAGATATCTGCACACCCATGTTCATACAGGCATTATTCACAACAGGTAAAACACAGAAGCAACCCAAGTACATGCTTATGGAAAATGGATAAACAAACTGTGGTATAGACACACAGTGGCATATTATTTGGCCTTTACTTGGATGGAAACACTGACCCTCACTACAACCTGGATAAACCTTAAGGTTATTCTGCTAAGTGAAATAAGCCAGTCACAAAATGACAGAGACTATATGATTCCATTTATATGAGGTACATAGAGGAGTCCAATTCAGAGAGACAGAAAGTTGAATGGTAGTCTCCAGGGTCTGGGGAGATGCGAAGTTATTGTTTAAATGAGTATGGGCTTTCAGTTTTACAGAATGAAAATAGTTATGGAAATGGATGGCCGGGATGGTTTCACATTACTAATGTATTCAATACCACTGAACTATACATGTCAAAACGATTACGATCCTAAATCTTATTTTATGTGTATTTAACAACAATAAAAAAATTGAAAAGAGAAAAATAGGCTTTTTGAGCAGGGTCACTAGCTGAAGGGGTTTTGAATCCCATCTGACGTCCCGTGCTTTGTTCCCAGAGAGGCATCCCCCCTCCTACCCTTTATCGCAGCGGCCCGCTTCCATCCAGGACTCGGTGTTTCTAACCCACCCCCAGAGCTGGGGAGCTCTCGAGCTCTCCAACTACGAACCGCAGAAAGGAAGTCAACCCCTTGCCTTACCAGGGTCCAGGAAGGGCCGGCAATCCTCGGCAGCACCGTAGCCCAGCTCCGGCAGCCCCGCCTGGGGCATCCAGGCCTCTGCCACGGGGGCCTCTGGGGCGGGTCCCATCACTTGCAGTGGGGGCGACTCCAGGTGGATGTTTGGTGGTACGTGTGCCGGGCCCACTGGTACCAGCTCCTCCAACAGCATTTCCTGCCTATCGATCTGGGGGAAATGGCACAACCCGTCACTCTCCAGTCTACACCGGCACCGCCCGGTGCCAACAATGGGTGGGAGCCACCCACGTCGTTTTCATTGTCCAGGACCCGCATAAAACAAAGAAGACATTGGTGAAGTCAGTCCTGACGACATGCATGATTCCACCAATATGGCTGAGATACCACACTTCCAGAACGTAACCACTATGAACAAGTATTCATGAGACATCTCACCTACTTTATCTTTCGTACTCAGTCTTCTGAACGTGATGAGCATCTTACCCTTACAGCACATCTCAGTTGGGACTAGCCACATTTCTAGAGCTCAAGAGCCACGCCTGGCTGGTGGCTACCATACGGGGCAGCGCCACGATTAGGCCACAGGCGGATAAAAATCCTATGGAGCAAGCCAAACCCAGGAGACAGAGAAAGGGAGGGCGCACCATAAACTCACTCTATCCTGGGGGGGGGGGGGGAGGCGGCAGGAAAGTCTGCAAGACTCTGGTTCGGGCGGGCTACCTGCAGGGCCCTATCAACACACGGTGCCGAAGCCCTTCCTCCCTTCTGCCAAAGGTTCTGCCCTGTGCCGCGGGCTTCTGAGCAGGGGGCCCTGGCGCCGCCACCCAAGGCGGATGCGGCACGGTGGCAGGTGGCTGTCAGGACCCGGCGGGCAGAGACAGGAGTGGGTATCATTCCCAGTGCGGAACTGCTCCGGGTCCCCACCAACTCTGGGGTGCCCCCGCAAACTTGCGTCGAGGGAGAAAGAACGTGTCAACCTCACCCTGGGGCGCGTATAGACACAAGACATTTCTGCATGATTTAGCACGACTTGCTACTTCTAGGAAAGCCCGCCTTTGGAACTCAGGCAACCACTCTCTTGCTCATTGCTCAGATTTACCGACACGTGTGGCCACTTTGGAAAACCACAGAGCAGCCGTGCAGGGGGCTGTCGCCGTCACAGTGAGTCTCTGCGCAGGCGTGAGCACGTGACAACCTCGTGAGGTCTGCCGGTGCGGTCCGGCCCCAACGTGTGTGTTCACATGCTCACTCCACAATGACAAACTACATTCCCTTTCCTTTATATTCTTTCCGGGCTCCACTTGACTCGGGTTGGCCACATTTTCTTAGAAAGAGTCAGATAATAAATAATTTACACTTTGTGGGGCATGTTGGTCTACTGCCTACAGTTCTTGTATTAACAACCCTTTAAAAAGGTAATAACCAGGAACGCCTGGGGGCGCCTGGGTGGCTCAGTCGGTGAAGCGTCTGCCTTCGGCTCAGGTCATGATCCCAGGGTCCTGGGATCAAGCCCCACATCAGGCTCCTTAATCAGTGGGGAGCCTGCTTCTCCCTCTGCCTGCCACTCCCTGTGCTTGTGCTCTCTCTCTCTCTCTCTGACAAATAAATAAGCAAAATCTTTTTTAAAAAATAAAAAGGTAATAATCATTATTAGTCACGGGCTGCAGAAAACAGGCCATGAGCTCCATTTGTCCCATGGACCACAGAGCACTTTTTTTTTTATTTTAGTTTTTATTTATTTATTTGACAGAGAGAAAGAGAGATAGCGAGAGCAGGAACACAAGCAGGGGGAGTGGGAGAGGGAGAAGCAGGCTTCCTGCCGAGCAGGGAGCCTGATGTGGGACTCGATCCCAGGACCCTGGGATCATGACCTGAGCTGAAGGTAGACACTTAACGACTGAGCCACCCAGGCGCCCCAGCAGAGCACTTCTTATAGCAATGTTTTTGATTTTGCGTATGTAAGCAGGTTACATTATACATCAATTTCATTTCAGGATGGCAGAAGAGGCAGTATGAAATATCTGGTACAGAATAGGAGTTGTGTTTAATAGTTGAGAACTGCTGAGCCATATATGCTAATTCCAGCAGAAGGGAAAAATGAAAATCACTTTAGGGAAAGCATGGAGCTCAAAACGAAATGTCTGATCTAGTATAAGATGTCTCTGCTACTTCTTTTTGTCTAATTACCAAGATCCCAAACTCTTTTCTCACCTGTTGCTCTGGTATCTCCAGTTCTCTCTGTAAGTCTTCAATCAGTGACACAACTCTTTCTCTATTCTCTGGGCAATGTTCCCTCACCCAGGTCTCTATCTCCGTGGGCAGAATGGTTAGGAACTGCTCCAACACCAGCAGCTCCAGGATTTGTTCCTTAGAACGCAGCTTTGGCTTCAGCCACTGACAGCAAAGCTCCCAGAGTTTGTTGAAAGCTTCATGAGGCCCGGCCGCTTCTTTGTACTGGAACTGCCTAAAGCGCTGACGGAAGACTTCACAGTCGGCATCATAGTCTTGAAACACGGAGCCCTGATTCAACGAGGCCTGGATCGCGCAACCCAGGGCCACCGCCATTGCACTGTTCTGGTCGTGTACACTTTCTCTGGGGCCTGAAGTCTCAGATTCCAGTCTGTTTCTGGAGGCGTCAGGGGGAGCCACCCACAGCTGAGGACAGGACAAAACAAAAAAGGAAACAGGAGTGGTTACCCCAGGCCATACTCACTTCCCTTAACTTGCTTACATTCCACCAAGCCCTAGAGCAGCAAACCTTAAATTTCTTTGGTGATTTTGAAACTCTAATAAAGGCCATGGTATCACTTCCTAGAAAAATACACAGACACATCTAATTCTGCATCCGTTTTCCAAAAATTTACAAAATGTTCTAGAGCATACATGGACCCCGTTTCAAGTTTAAATTCATTGAGAGGCACCTGAGTGGCTCAGTCATTAAGCATCTGCCTTCGGCTCAGGTCATGAGCCCCGGGTCCTGGGATCAAGCCCCGCACATCGGGCTCCCTGCTCCGCGGGAAGCCTGCTTCTCCCTCTCCCACGCCCCCTGCTTCTGTTCCCTCTCTCGCTGTGTCTCTCTGTCAAATGAATAAATAAAATCTTTTAAAAAAATAAATTCATTGAAGTTGCATTCAGTTTCTCATTCAAATTAGCCACATTTCAAGTGCTCCATACATAGGATGTCATTGTAGAAAGTTCTACTGGACAGCTCAGCTCTAGAATTCCATTGATCCAAAGCTAAGAGCCTCTTCCCGTAAATAAACCACCACAGATGTGCTGGCCTGTAATCCCACTCACAGTTTAATACAAGCTATCTTGTGTCTCTGAATATACACAGGCACTGATAAAGAACCCTGAAAGTCCATGTGCCTTTCAATAACCCATAGTCACCTTCAGTCACCAGCATCTTAGCTACAGACTTGCGGCCAAAAGCTACAGATCCACAACCCTTCGTTCTTCTCCACTCAAGGGATGTGCACTTCAGCCCACATCAGCCTGACCCTCGTGATGGCATGTCAAGTGGCTTTCTCATGAGAACGATACACTGCCACAGGGCAGGCCACCAGCCATGTGGGATGTATGAGGAACAAAGGACACTGATCACATTCCTCTTGCTATGTCCACGTGCTGTTCAAAGTCTCCCGCATATGGCAGGTCCAGGTCACGTAGCTCTCACCCAGAGCAAGGACGTGGGGACTAGTATGATGCCCTGAGTACAGATGAGGGGACCGAGGTTGGAGGCTCAGGAGCACTGAATGACTTGTCCCAGGTCACACAGGAAATGCCAGAGGGAAATGGTGAGAAGGATGGAATGAACAGATCTCTGCAACACTCATGTCTCAAATCATCCAAATGTTTTTAGTGCAATGTCTGAGGTCAAAGACATGGTCACACGCAGGTCTCAATATCGGTACCCACCTTATGCTACAGATCCTCTCTGTATTTGCCCAGATGCCTCATGTACCTGCCTTCTTCCCTGCAGTGGCACAAGTTAAAAAATACTCATAATCTTTCCTACCTAGCCATCCCAAATGTACATTGGGAACTTATCATCCTTTATCTTGCTGGTAACCTGAACTTCAGCAGCAGACCCATCCACGTGCGATAACCTGCTGGCTTTGTGACCCTGACACCCAGTGCTTCTGTCTGTAACATGAAAATAATCATAGCATCGATTTCATAAAATTTCCTGTGGTGCATCCAACTGCGTGGAAGCGAACGGCAGCTGCCTGGCCTGGCACAGAGGAAGCGCTCAAGCAAGGTTACTACTCCCCAGCACTCATTCCTAGAAAGTTCCACGTCCCCTCCACCCCACCCCAGGCATCCAACCCTCCTCCCTGGATGGCATCCAGGGATCGGCCGGCTTGAGCTGTGGAACCGCCCTGACCCTGCTCAGCCTCGCAGTTGGCCGCCCTCCCCAGATGGGCCCGAACCATCCACCACGTCCAGCAGGGCCCTGATTGTCCCGCCGGCCCTCAACCCGCCCTTCCGCAGGGAAACATCACTGCATCCCAGGACTCACGGCTTCTCCCCAAATCGGCCCGAGCGAGCCCGCGCTCCCACGGCCCACGGATAAAGAGGGTGTGCGCAAAGCGGGCACTCGGGGAAAGGCGAGGAGGGACACGTCGCGGGAACTTCTAAAAGCCGGTTACAAATCGGCTGCCCGGGGCGGGGGCACGGCCCCAGCGCGCTCCCCACGGGATGTCCCGGCGCCCCGACGGGCGCTCCAGGCCCCGGACAAGCCCGGGAAGGCCCGGCCGGGTCGCAGGGAGCGGCAGCGGGGACCCGGCCGGACAGGGGCCCGCCGCCCGCCGCCCGTCGCTCGTCCACGCGCTCGCCGCCGGGTCAGGGCTGGCGGCAGCCGGTTGGTGTAGCCCTAGCTGGATGGGAGCCCCGCCGCCCGCGCCCGCGCCCGCGCCCGCGCCCCAGGGACGGCCACGCCCTCTGGCCGCTCAGGGACTCACCGCCTCGGCGCCCACGGCTTTCCCAGGCTCCCCGGGGCAGGCGCGCAGGACGCAGGCGCGCGGCAGCCCTGAGGACTACATTTCCCGGCAGGCCCGGAAGCACGCGCCCCGCCGTCTGGGCCCGAGAGCATGCTGACGTGGGAGGGACGGCCACTTCCTTGGCCTCCTAGGGGCCTCCTGCCGCCTTGGAAGCGTTCCCGTTTCCGGTCTTAAGCGCTTCCAGAGCCCAGGGGGTTGGGTGGAACGTCCCGGGTTCCTGATCCCAGCAAGGGCTTCTATTCCATCCGCCCGAGAGTAACCCGAGTGGTGGGGGCCTCCTTTAACTCTTTTATTCCTGGATTACTGATTCTCCAGCCACTCAGTGCAGGAAGAATTTCTTGGGAGGCCCTGGGAAAACTTCAGATTTCTAGGCCCCGTCCCGATACCCTGACACACCGCATCTCGCATGACGTGGAGAATGCGCATTTTGTTTTTGTTTTTTTTAAGATTTTATTTATAAGCAGGGGTGGGGTTGGGGCGGGAGGGGCAGAAGGAGAGGGAGAAGCAGACACTCACCAAGGTAGCCCCAAGGGGCTCCAAGCCAGGACGCTGGGATTATGACCTTAGCCAAGCAGAACCCCCCCAACACCCCCGATAATTAGCATTTTATTGTATTTATTTCTTTGAGAGAGAACACAAGGGACAGGCAGAAAGAAAGGGAGAAGCCGACTACCTACCGAGCAGGGAGCCCCTCTCGGGACTCAATCCCGGGACCTCGGGACCACGACCACAGCCCAAGGCAGAGGCTTAACCGACTGAGCCACCCGGGCGGCCTGAGAACTCGCATTTTAATCAGTTTTCCTGGGCTTAGGACTCTAGTCTTCATCTCGCGGGTCACACTGGCCTTGAGCTACCTTTCTAGTTTCCTTCTTGAAGACCCGAGCTTCGACCTCGCGCCACCCCGTGCGCTCCTCTCCGCCCGCGGCCACCACCAGCAGGCTCGCGGGTGTTCGGGTTCCCCCGGCGGCCCGCCTCTTGTCCTCCAAGTGGCCCCGCCGCTGGGGTCACATTTTCCCTCCCTGGTGAGTTGGCGCGAGGCCAGAGACGATGCTGTCACCGGGGAGACGTCGTCCTCACATTGGTCCCCAGCTGGTGCCCTTGGTGTTGGGACACCAGACTTTAGTGCGGGGACTTCCCTGGTGGGAGCAGGACAGAGAGGAGAGAGCAGCCTGCGATTGTGCCTCCCAACCCCGGGCGGAAGCGGGTCGAGGGGCAGGCGCCCCACCGCCCCGAACGTACAGAGGTCACGGGGCTGGAGACAGCTCCCCCCCGGGCTGGAGTTGGGCTGCTGCGCTGGGACGGGGAACCCAGGGCACGCTGATCCTGCTGTTTATTGTTGCCCGGGGCGCCTGGCGCCTTCGACGGCGGTCCCAGCTGCTTTCAGGGTCAAGAGATCTAGGAACCTGATCCTGGCGTCCGGCCCAGGCTCCCAGGAGCGAAAAGGCTCCTGATGAGACACCCCAGGAGCTACTGCGCCTGCCGCCAGGAGCTGGCCCGCCTCCCCACCTCCGGGGCGCAGCCCGGTGGCCTCCCGCCTGCTCTTGGGGCTTTTGCCGCTGGGCCCCGGGAAACCGTCAGGCGGCTCCCGGAGCTTTGCCACCGCTCGGTGGCTTCGGCCTGAGGTGCGCACCCTGGAGCAGGTCCTTGAGCTGTTGGTGTCCGAGCGATTCCTGGCCCTCCCGTCGCAGGAGATCCACAGCCCGCCGCAGAAGCTGCTTCCGCAGAGCTGCGAAGAAGCCGTGCCTCTTGCGGCGTCTACGCGGAGAGCTTGCGGGATGAGGGAAGCGGGCAGAGAGACAGCGAGACCGGGCGTTTCTGGTCTGGTTTGGGTTGGTCCGGAAGACGGAGACACCGCGGACTCTTACTCCGCGTTCGGATTTTCTGCATCGCCCTGAGTAGACCTTACTTGGGCAAGTGACTTTTTGTAGATTGGTCTGGAACTTGGACCCTGCAGATTTTCCGCGGGCGCAGAGTGAGCGGCGAGAGCGCCTGTGCCCAGCGGGAGGCGGTGTTGCTGCTGCCGGCGTCAGGGTGCGCTCGCCCTGGAGCCAAGGGGCTCCGAGCCTGGCTCTGCTCGCTGCCCACTAACGGTGGGACTTTAGGCAGCTTACTGTCCCCCCTGGGGCCTCCCTTCGCCGTGGCTCAAAGGCTCCTGGGGTGGTTTTGAGGACGAAGAGGGGAGCAGCGTGTACGTGTGACGACACTGCTGGTGCGTCGTAGCTGGTGCTTAAGACTCGGCTGGCCTGGCGTGGTGGCCGCGCCCGGAGTCCCCGCGACTCGCGAGGCCGAGGCGGCAGGGTGGCGTGGGCCGGCGGGCGCTGTGCCGGTCGGTGTGCGGGCTACGTTCGCAAGTTCGCCGTCCCTCTGGCGAAGCTCCCAGAAGCGGGAGACCGCCAGGGTGCCCGAGGAGGGGTGGGCCCGCCCGGGTCGGAAACGGAGCGGGTCGATTGGCGTGGGGCCCGGCAGTGGGCTCGTGCCCGTGCAGAGCCCGTGCCTGCAGCCTGGGCCACACAGGGAGACCCGTCTCCAAACAAACGCAGCGCTTCGCTGTGGTTCTGTCTGGCTCGACGGTCCGGCCTCGTCCGCGGAGCTGGGTCTCAGTTACTGGTGAGGTCAGAGAAACAGTTTGGCCTTGAGGCTCTGAGGTCAGGCTCCCCAGGCCCCGCCCCGGTTAGCCGACCTAGCAGTGAGGCAAGGGAGCCACCGGAAAAGGGGGGGGAGGGAAAGAGGGAGTGCAGATCTTCAGGCGATCTGTGCACTGGGAACGAGGACCCCCTCCCGCGCCCCCCACGTACAATCACATACACACATTTTCACTCAAACCCCTGTAGTTTAAGCCATTCTTTTTCTCTTGTTGTGTCCAGAGTGACTGGTCATGGTCTTCTGTGGACTCTGCCTTCAGATCCTTGTAATAATTTCCCTTGCCTTGTTGGGCCATTTTATGATGGTAAGTGATGGCAGGGTGGCTTTTAGGTCAGAAACAATGGGCTGAGAACAAAAATGCTTTTATGCAGCCTTTGCTTCAGGGGACAACATGCAAGTCGCTGAGCTTCAAGCTGGAGCCCGGTGACACTCAGGGAAGCCCCGGCCGCATTAGCCACGGGGCCTCAGCTCCAGAAGAACCCACAGCAGTAAAGGATCCAGGTGAGGAACAGAATGGGCAGGTGGGAGGGGAGAAGGGCTGTGGAATGGCCTCACTGACACAGGCCCCTAGAACATAGCCGCTAACAAGAGGGAGTTTCTGAAGTCAGTTTCTGGAAGGACCTCAGAAAGAGTGGTCTGGGTTTTTCTGGAGGAGGAGGAATTTCTTAGTAGTGTCCCTCTTTTAAATTAAACTTTTAATTTTGACATTATTATAGATTGACATGCAATTGAAAAAATGGACGGGTATCCTTTACCCTTTAGGTAGTTTCACCAATGCTAACATCTTGCACAAAGTATACTACAATCCAAGATCTTGACATGAATACAGTCTGCATAGAGAACAGTTCATCCCTGCAGGAATCCCTCCTGTTGCTCTTAGAGGCTCAAACCCAACCCCGCCTCCTCCTGCCCATCCAACTCTTTTACCCAGTCCCTGATCTCTGGCCCCTGGCAACCACTTTTCTGTTTCCCCCCGTTTTTGTTTTTTTTTTTTAAGTAGGCTCCATGCCCAGGAGCCCAGTGCAGGGCCTGACCCCACGACCGTAAGATGAAGACCTGAGCTGATATCAAGGGTTGGGCACTCAACCAACTGAGCCACCCAGGTGCCCCAGTCTGTTCTCCCTTCATATAGTTTTGTCATTTCAAGAATGTTTTATAATTGGAATCCCATCATCTGTAACCTTCTGAGAATGTCTTCCCCGCCCCCACTCAGCATAATTCCCTGGAGATTTTTCCAAGGCATTCTGTGTCACGATATTTGTTTCTTTTTATGCCTGTATAGATATACAGCAGTTTGTTGAAACAGTCACCCAGTGAAGGACGTCTGGGTTGTTTCTAGCCGTTGGCTATTACAAAGAATCTGGTATGAACATGTAATTGCAATTTTTCAAAAAAGATTTTATTTATTTATTTGACAGAGACACGGGAGAGAGGGAACACAAGCAGGGGGAGTGGGAGAGGGAGAAGCAGGCTTCCTGCCGAGCAGGGAGCCCCATGTGAGGCTCCATCCCAAGACCCTGGGAGCATGACCTGAGCCAAAGGCAGAAGCATAACGACTGAGCCACCCAGGCACCCATAATTGTTATTTTTATGATCGATGCTTTAGCAGATAATTCTGACATCTCGTTAATTTTCGAGTTAGAGGCACTTGATTGTCCTTTCTCATTCAGGTTGAGAATTTCCTGGTTCTTTGTATGAAGGATGATTTTCCATTGTGTCCTGGACATTTTGGGTATTATGTTGGGAGCCATTGGGTTCTATTTAAACTTTGTATTTTAGCAAGCAGTCCTCCTGTATGGTTTGGCCTGCAGGTCCTGGGCTACTCTTGTGGGCTGTGGTTGTAAGGACAAGATGATTTTCAGGGCCTCTGTGGTGCTTTTTCTTTTCTTTTCTTTTCTTTTTTTTAAGTAATCTCTTCGCCCACTATGGGGCTCAAATCTTGACCCAGGGATGAAGAGTTGCATGCTTCGCTGACTGATCCAGCCAGGCACCACTATGTGGTGCTCTTTTGGTATGCTTGGTTTATGCTGCTGCTGGGACTTCCTCGTGTGCCT